TATGTCTTATTCAATTATCTGTCTTATTAAAGTAAAAATGATCTCTTAGTTAAAAATAAAGTATGATGATAAGGCTTATGCTTATCATGCTAAAAGCCAGGAACAACAGAAAATTAAATTATCTCCTTCAGATGTCCTGAGGTTAGCCTGTTTAAAATTCTTTTAATGTCGACCATGGCTGAGTCAATCATTTGTCTTGACCGTAACTATCTCTCATCACCTTATCTGTATGCAAAACATCTTTAATCATATCTCACCCTTAATTTACCCCCATTGGAATACTTCCTATTTTTAATCTTATGTCCCTTAAAGACACTGCCATATTTGTCTTCTGCAGAAAAATTAATTAAATGTTTACTGTCATGTGAAAAAAAAAGCTAGAAGAAATACAACATACAAAGGTGTCTTGGCTTGAAAATGCATCTTGCAGTTTAGTACTTTAAGTTTACTGTTTTGCTCTGTTATAGGTCAAAGGAGAGCTTCTTGTCACCAGTACAGACAAGCACCAAATCATAATTATCTTATTTTAAAAAGAAGTCTTTTATGAGCTACATTTATGAAGTCATTCACTTGAAAGCTCAAGGTCTTTAGGACACAAGTGCTATGCTATTCATAACAATGTAAATGCCATTTTAATATAACATATTACATAGTCTTCTGCAGTATACTAAGAAACACATTTTGTTTCTTGAGAAAAGCAAGATCATGCCACTGTACTAGGGAAGAAATAATTTAATCCTAAAGGAAACAGAGAATGTGAATATTGTATCTAACAAATCTACCCTCATTAACGCTCAGTTACTGTATATCAGCATGTACTGCATGACACACAAGAGACCTAATATATATAAAAAGATTTAGTGACATATCTTCGGCAGGACTTCTAACATCAGACATCAGACAAAAATGCATAAAGTATCCTCACTTTTCTCATGAAAGCAAAGTTCTTTTTTTTCTTTCCTATATTGCAACTTAACAGTTCAACTGTGTGTATAATGTAGTTTATCAGTTAAATAGACAGTTTAGAATCCACACATTCATATCTAGCATGATGCCAGATGTTCCAACATAGCACTGTGTTTTTGAATAAATCAATACATCCTTCTAAGCTTCTAGCAAATGTAAAAAGTCATTAAGATCTAAATGTTCATACCGGCTGGTACTGTACTAGCTACACCTAAAAATAAATCTCTAGTATTTCTGCTATTTCATTCCAATTCCTGTATAGGAGATTTGTACCAGAACAGTAAGAATGTAAAACCTAAGGACCGCACTGAAAATACTGTATGTTTGTATTTCAAAATAAAATTTGATTTTTAGAAAAGCGTTTTGTTAAACACATCTGTAAATACAATGACAGTCTATTTAATTATACAGATACAGTAAATATTAGCTATTAGGCTATGCATCCAGGCTCATAAAGGCCCATACTCATACAGGTTATGAGTAATATTTAGATAGTATTCTATTTTAGTAATCTCTCCAATATCTCTCCTAAATGTTGTTTGAAGAGGTTTCTTAGAGCTGTGTTTAGAACTATGAGGTAATTCTGCTTCTTAGGAGAAGATTCTTGGACAAATTTACAGTTATGAACTGTATACAATTCAGTCATGATGAAGCCTTGGGATATTTTTTACGTTGAAAAAGGTTTTCAACTATAGTTTAATACCTTTCCAAAGTACACCCAGTCCAAAGTAACACATTTTGTGGCCCAGCAGTCTGAAATCAAGACATTTTGAATCAGATTTTTTTTTACCTTTATTTACACATTGTAGCACACAACCTCCAAATTAAAATAAAAAAAAACAACAACTACTCAGTCATTCTGAAAAGTAAATACAAATGAAAACCTAGAAAAATGTGTTAGGTCTCAAACCGTGCTACTTTGGAAAGGATGTGTAGCCTTTCTTTAGGGGCTATAAACAGTATGTATGCAGACTGACCATGACTAAAAAGAACACAAACATGCTTGTTTTAATAAACTATATAACTATTTTCAGGACTATTTTCCTGGTGTAGTGACATGCCATAGTCTCACCCCTAAAGTGTTAATCCACCATCCATTGTGCCTTAATGCTCCAATAAGTCACCCCATTTTTTCCTTTAAAGTTCTTCCTCCCTCTTCTGTAAAGTATGTGGATTCACAAGCTATTATATTTTATGAGGATAAATTATCCTGACAAATGCAAATTATACCATTTATAATGAAACTCAGTTAGGGATATTTAAATAAACCTGGAAACATTCCAGAGTGGCCTTGCATGATTTGGCATTGTTCATCTTTTTAAAATTGAGAGTACACAGCCATTTAAGATGACAAGGGTACAGAAGTCTTTCTTTAAACCCTTTAAAGTCTTCACAAGAAAAGTGAAGAACAGATCAAGTAATGAAGTTTTCCTTGTCAGCCAGTTTGGATTTTGAAATGGTACCGGTTACAAATATGTAAAATAATGGAATATAATAGAATAATATACTGGGTATATTTTTATTAAAATGGGGGTAGATTTTATTAACATTTTGAATGTACTACTAAGAGAATTTCCCATGCTGTGGGCATTATTATTTCTTTAATAATGACAATACTTCATAACAGAACATATTAGAATGTAGCAATTTAAAGCAATGTTTTGCTGCAGTATGTTGCAATTAAAATCATATTTAATAAGCAGTTTAAGACACATAACAGTGCATGTGTCTTAATTCTTAGGAAATCTATTACCAGCTGCTCCTGAGGCTCTTTAATGAGCCTGCTTGGAGCCTCTGTTCAGTTGCAAATCCTGATTTTACATTTCTGCTACCATATATACAGTATAGTGGCTTTGTTGCAACTAAGTTGTTTTTTATTTCTATTCACTAGCCCTTTTTTACTCTTCCTCTCTGTTCTGATGTATAAATCACTTATCATTGTATTTGTCACTTATCATGCATCATTGTTATTTCACTTATCATTGTAAATGGCTTTAAAAGCAGTGCTAAGTAAAGAACACTCTCAACCTACTTAGTAAGTAGGCAGAGAGAACTTTTGCTAAATAAAAAAAACACAAAACTTGAGCGTATAGTAAAAATGTCCCTTTGGCATTTTCTCTGCATATGCTGATTAGATGTACAGTAGGTGACCCTTTTTCACCTAGTGCTATCTGGATATTTTTACGACAAGTTTAATTGAAAAGACTATGCAAAAGTAGATCAGCACATTTTAAATGGAAATGTTCCTGAAAGTGCATCTTCACATTAATGTAGTTTATGAAAGGAGAGATACACATTAACAGAGGTTCTGTGATAATAATAATAATAATAATAATAATAATAATAATAATAATAATAATAATAATAATAATAATAATAATAATAATAATAAAAATAAAAATAATAATAATAAATGCTTAAACTTATGTAGCACTTTTCTGGACACTCCAAGGGTGACTTTTATGTGCATGCTGACCTTTAAACCTGAAAGAGGGACACCGACTTTGGAAGTTTCAGGAGGCAAATTGTAATGTCTGCACAGAGTTTATAGATAAGGTGGCAACATCTCCTGTGATGATAGACAATTAACACTGAAAACAGACATTCTTCATTGTGTGAGGAGGTATTGAAGGCTGCCAAATATAAAGCAGACATGGTAGGACTACATAAGCACCAGCTCAGATAAGGACTGCAGATAATAGATAGGTGGTAGTGGATAGAAAAGGAACTTCACTAAATCTAGTTATAAGGTCTGTAAGACTGTTAATCATTTAACTGGCAAATCACATAAGGAGACACTGTATCCTCTAAGATAGACTTAAATGACTGAAAAATCCAACACGCTGTTCTGTCACCAGCTGAATTCCTAACTGAAGGTCTGGTAAGCCTCCCAACAACCTGTGCTGTATACAGAGCTGTCAGAATGGATGTGACCTCAAGACAATAGTCAAGGTCCTGACAACACAGTAAACTCTTGCGACGTGCTGCCCCTGTAGGCCTCAGTATGAGCAGGTGGTTACAGCACTTACTGTATGAAACCAAGCTGTTAGTTTAACAACGGAGCCCTGGGTTTTGGTGAATCATGTTATATTAGTACCGTTGTGTTAATATTACGTTTCTATTGGTACGTTTGCGATTCTAGTTGTAGAAAGGCCGTTTGCACTAAAACATGTACTGAACCTTAATTCTGAGCCGCGGTTTGTTAGTACTTCACAACACCCTTTTACACGGGTGTTCGCGATTACGACTCGGCGGGGGTGCTTTTGCCACTAGCAGAACCGCAGACCGGATCGAACTGCTTTTCGTATTAGATGAAAAGAAAACGAAATATATAATGTATACAATTTATGTATATGTATAAATGATAGGACTGCAATGTGCCCCTCATTAAAAAAAGTTCTTCAGGAATCATTAAGCTTTACTAACGGCATTAAGATGCATACAGTAGATGCATTTCAGAAACTTGTTTTCCAGTACTACTGTAAACTGCGGGGCAGTTGTTTACAAACTTTTCACTTTAACTACAGACGATGCACTTGTTTATACATAACCAAATGTATCTAAATCCATATTAAGATTAAATTGAAATGGCCTTTAAAGTAACTTTAAATTGTTTGAGTGCACCTTAAAAATCGTGAAAAAATCTCTTCACTTCTACGATGGTGTATGGATCGAGTCTGTTCAGCAGGAATGCCCTTTCAGATGTGTGTTGTGTGCTGCTAATAACGGACAAGGCTGAAATAACACACACAAATGAAGAGGTTTTCGTTCTCAAATGTGCACAGTCCTTGTTAACAGAGAAAGGGTACTCGGGAAATTCGTAAAGGGGAAACGTGCTGTAGTTTATAAAATAGAATCGCTTGTACTGGAGCCAGAGCAAGGTATTGAGAATTAGTACGTCAATATCCTTTGCGCCGGTATACGGTTGTCATTCCCGACTCCAATCCGTTTCCTCCACACTGCCGTGTTTTAATGTCGACTCGGTTTGCAAGAGAACGGAGGGGAGTCTGCGATTGGACGTTTCCTGCCTGTCAGGAGTGAGGGAGGCTGGGAAGAAGGGATAACGTCTGCATACAAGCCCCCCCCCAGAAAGTGGTACACAGTCCTGCTGCTGAGGCTAACGGCTTGTCGGTGAAACGTCGCTGATTGTGGGAGGTACTGAGTGGTTCTGGAAAAAAAAAGAAACTGAAAAAAGGATTGTGAATCGTTATCAGAAGGCCTCCTCACCGGATTCTTGAGTTCCGGATGTCTTCTTACTTGTTACTTTTCTGTTTTTAGCCATCCGGTTATAACAACAGAAAGACCCAGTGCTATAAAAAACGGACAAGCGAGATATAAGGAAAAGATCCAAGTGCGGTTTCCCTTTCACAGATCTGGACCATAACTGTCCCTTTTCTCCCTAAACGCAGGGCCGTTGCGTGTGAATTAAATGAACTGACCGCCTTTTGTCTGCAGAAAGCTGGGACTAAAAACTAACAGCACATCTACGAGAAGTGTTATCGCCGAAGCCCTCGTGTGGGGATCATTACGATCGTCGCCTAAAACGGGACTGAAACGATAAAGGACTTCCCACCAAGTAGCTAAGAAGCATGGGTGCTACTTTAATGAACGAAACGCCACAAGATCTCGACAAACCGTGAGTAGACCTAACGGAAGATTAGGCGTCTGTTGTTGCCCGGTATTGCCTAGTTGGTTTCTATTTGTGAGTCGGACCTCACCTGACGCAGGACTAGTTACTGTTGTACAATTTTTTGTCCTGGCGTGCTCGGGGGGCAGCCGACAAATAAAAAATGCCAATTGTCCCACCTGGAGCAAGACATCACAAAACACCGGGAGGCACTGACTTCTTAAGTCGGAAACCTTTTCTGAAGTAACAACCTTTCCGCAAAAGGTTCAGTTCAGAATAAGCCGATTTTCACATGTCACAGATTTGCATGCAATTAATTCCTCACTTAACTGTGCCAAAGAAGACTGGGGGAGAAGCCCGATAATGAAATCGCAGAGAATACCTTCTGGAAGCATGGCAATGGAAAAGAGGATTTAATAAGGACCGTTAAGTTACTCTTAAGACCGGCACTCAAGAAGGTGGCAAGCTATTGATTACAGGAAGCTGGGGTTTGTATTTCAACCCCTGCTCTGCCAGTGACTCGGAAGCCGTAGAACAGAGAGAGGCAGTTATCCTCTCAAATTCCTAGGGCACGGCAACTGAGAAACTGTCGGCTGGTCATCGTCGAGAGGGGAAAATATACTTCATGTATTTCAAGCAGCAGGTGGAAGACGGAGCACTGTCCACCAAGTACATCCCCGAGCGTCCCTGCGCCTGACAGGCGGCATCTGGACGTGGGAGCTGTTCAAGCTGGTCGGGTCCTGACGCCGCCGAATGCGTTATTACTTTCCTGGATGATTGAAAATACAAGTGCTACATCATCCAGTCAGCGGAGGGCATACAGTGACAGGGCTGCGGCCCTTTCATCCCTTGTCCCAGAAACTAATCTTAAGGTAAGCTGTCAGCTTTACGCAATTTTGAAACTCGTCAAACTTCATCACAGACAAGCAGGCGGCTGGAGTCGTACAGTACCTTAAACGTATATGTACAGTATACACAGTCAAAATACTAAGTACCAAATGCCTTTTTGCTGTTAGTCATTTCTGCTTGAAATGTTCAGTCACAAAATTGTTCGGTTTCAGCGAAACTCGATCGCAAAGACTTCACGGTTTTCCAAAGAATGAAAAATATAAACGGAAACAGCGGTACGATTTTTTTCAGGAGCTCTTATATTTTCAGGGCGTTCATCCTTGCGAACAAATTCTGTGCACTTTTGCTTTTTGTCCACCTGAATGAACATTTCTAGGGTTTTCTTTCAAGTTATCAGAAGAGGTCGTTCCGATTTCATGTCATTTTTGGAAAACAGTCTTACTTTTTTATGAAAATTATAAGTCACTTCGATAAAACGGTATGCTAAAACTTTATGAAGATGCACTTGATGTTCGGGACTTTCAGCCTGGTAAAGCAAGAGCTTAAGGCACAAAATAGGTAAACGTAACAGAGTATAAAAACAAATTAACATTGTGTGGCCTTCTTTGATACAAGACACATTATGCGATAAATCCTAGTGGTGATTAGACACTGTATATCTTGTCCTTAGTTCCAAATGTTTCCTTAGAAAAAGAAAATTCTTGATCAGTGTGAATCACTGTACTCTTGCTAATTATAGGTATTCAACTTTGAAATGAATAACCAGTGACAACAGGAAATTAATCACAATAATAATATAATCTAAATAAATATTAGAATAGGATATTGTGCTTGACCAGGGCTGGTTTGCAGGCTATGGAGCCCAGGATATATTGGTTTCTTTCTGGTTTAATACTCCAAGACGTCTAGAAGACAGAGCATCTTTGATAAAGGAATTTGTGCTAGGGTGCTACAGACCCAGTGCGAGTTTAAATGCTATAGTTGCAAATACAAGATTTTCAGCTTACTGAGCATTAGGTCAATCAATGCTTGGAATGATCTCCATTTATTTTTTGCAGTTATGTTTAACATTTGATGACCCTATATGTTTTGCTGTCGGTGGGAGACGGAGGACTTTTTAAAAAACAATTGTCCTTGATCTATAATAATTGTATTGTAAGGGGAATCCTTTATCTTCAAAGCATGAGTATTTCAATACATCCACATTCCATGATACTCTTGATCTCATTAAGGGAAGTCTTAGATATTGAACACTACTTTACAACCGTCCTCTCAGCTATTTCTCTTCCTTGTGCGTGTTTGTTTCAGCCCACAGAGCTGTGTTTGCACAGAAATGAGCTCCGCACATTTTTTACATCCATTTTATTGGTTTACTTTTTAATTTATGTAGCAGACATATTTTTCAGGCTAACATACACTTGCTTTTCAATTTGCCATAGAAAACACTGCACTTTCATTGCATTTGTTGATAGAAAGACAACATGTTTTAAGCTAAAGGAAAGTATTTGAAACGAATAATAAATCTGTTGATATAAATATTTGCTTGCTAAAGGCTGAGGTTCAGTTGTTTTTCCAGTTGTGTTTCTTCGAAGACAAAGGCTCAGACTTTGAAGGAGCATATCCACAGTGTGGTTGAAATGAGCGATGAAGAAAGCATAAATAATAAGAAAATTAAGAAAAGCAGTAGGTAGTCAGAGTTAAGTAATTGGATGATTAGTTCATTTCACTAATTAAAGAACTCAGGTGGAATAAAAAAACAGAGGCCCTTTGAGGACTGAAGCCTAGGATCATACTAATACAACACACGAAGATGTTAGTAACTTATGCAAAACAAAACAGAAGACGAGCACGAATCTGTGTTTGAACTAATTACTTCGATAATAATGCATCCGATTTATCCCTCCTGGTATAAAGAAACACAGCCAATAATTACAACTGAGATCTCGCCAGTTTTTTGTTAGAGTGAATTGCTTCTCCAAGTCATGTACAGTGGATCCTGTGAAATACAAAGTGCCAGAAGTAATAATAATAATAATAATAATAATAATTGCTTACACTTATATAGTGCTTTTCTGGACACTCCACTCAAAGTGCTTTACAGGTAATGGGGACTCCCCTCCATCACCACCAATGTGCAGCCCCACCTGGATGATAAGTAAGTAAGCAGTTCCATGCAGTTAACTAACTCTATGAACACGGACAGAATGTTACAAAGGCTGTTTTGCTTACACTTTCAAAATGCTTCTTATGGCCTCCGTTGTTGTTAAGGTTTCTGTTTAGGAAAGGGACCCAGTTAATCTCGGTGCAGTTTAATCAGGGCCGGGCTGGACCTCTTGCCCGGGAGGTAATGCCCTTGCTGTGGAAGCCGTTGACCAGTGTGGTTGGCATTTCGATTTCAGGAGAGACCACTGTTCAGTCGTTGTATTGATGAATCACTCTTTCGTTTGCACGGTGGTTCAGAAGGTGGTTCGCATTACTCAGACGGAAACGCCAAGGCCCATCTCTATTGCATCCACTCATACTCCATGCTGGGTATTCTTGAAAAATGTCACAGCAGGCTGGAAAGGCCTTATACATTTTTTACTTCTTGGGGGGTAATCTAAAGCCTAAACCAGAAACCAAAAGCCAGACAATTTGCTTTTATTTGCTTTCTTATTGGGAATTGTATGTTTTCCCAACCTGGGGCAGAGAGGTGGCTGGAAGTTTGCCAGTTCAAATCCCGCAGCCGGCAGAGGAATCCTACTCCATTGGGGCCCTGAGCAAGGCCCTTAACCCCAGCTGCTCCAGGGGCGCTGTACAATGGCAGACCCTGCACTCTGACCCCAGGCTCTCTCCCTATCTGTGTGCCTATGTGTCTCATGGAGAGCAAGCTGGGGTATGTGAAAAGACAAATTCCTAATGCAAGAAATTGTAAAGGGTTAATAAAGTGATGATATTATTATATGGAATTGAATTAAGGCTATGGCCCTTGGCTGCAGCTCATGTCTTGCATGGGGAGAATGAGGACCTGGCGGTCTAGAAAAGGCTCCTCTGACCCACTCACCTGTCAGAGCAGCTCATCCCTGGACATGCAGCGTGTTCTCCAGTCACTTACAGATGGGCCAGCTCCAGCTGGAGGAACAGTGCATGTCTCACTGACATCATTGCAGTCTTCACTGCAGCTGCCCTGCAGATCCCAGCGGTCACTGTTGATCTTACAGCTGAGAGAAGCCGGTAAAGGTTTATTCCCACGCTGAAAGGAAAAGAAAAGACCCACAATGTTTCGGCTGCAGAGCCCTCTTCATGTGTGAAGCCTTCTTCACCCGAAGAAGGCTCCACCTTCAAAATATTACGTCTCTTTTCCTTTCAGCAGGGAATAAACCTATCCCTGTTCACAGATACCTGCTTGATCTAAGAGATACTGGCTGCTGACTGTGATCCATATATGCAATATCTTGTTTATCCATCCATCCATTTTCTAACCAATTTATGGTCACAGGGCACATGAGCCTGTCCTGGCAAGCAACAGGTGCAAAGTCAGATACACCTGGGACGGAACGCTGTCCGTCACAGGGTGCACACAGACACAAACACACATACCGTACACTCACGGTAGGGCCAATTTCCTATTTCCAATGTGTTTGAACTGTGGGAGGAAACCGGAGAATGTGTGAGAAAACCCACACGAACACAGGGAGAACTTATAGACCCACACAGACAGCATCCCAGGTCTGGAATTGAACCCAGTGCCCCATACTAACCACTGTGCTGCCCTGTGGTGCGTTTATTAACATGATAAAAGTTCTGACTGAATTGTATTTTCATTTTTAACACTACTAGTGATGGCAGTATAAGTACATATAAATATATGTTAAGAATATACCTAATATGAACTGTAAGGTCAATATTATTAGGTCTGTAATATACAGTTTATATACAAACTAAACACTCAAATTTGTGGTCTGCTCAGTTTATTTCTATACTAGGCTTATAGGTTTATTTAACCTTTGTAGCATAGATATTGATCATATGTGTATTTATATTTATTGCTGTTTTTAGTAGGGTAAACTATGGCACATATAAACTTTCAAAATATGCATTCAAATCAAGATGGTAGGGTATTTTGGATGTGCTTATGTTCTTCAAATTCTCAAATGCTGGGGGTCATTATGTCTTAAGCTGTACATTTTTCTGTGCATTTAAAATATTTGCTGTTTTTGTGTTCCCCAATTTGCAATTTCCTGTTTTCATACATCCTGATCATAAATCGACTAGAGAGCACTGCACGCACAGGCACTCTTGAGATATTATTAGCACACCTGATAAAAAGTGTTTTTCACTGCTGTATCTTTTTCATAAGCCTCACCATATCTATTCAAAATCACTGGCATTTTTACTCCCTCTCTGTGAAACAGCCTGCGTGCACTCAATATGATTCTTTCCAGAATCATTTTTATTTTCTTAATGGACACAAATTGATGTTGATTTGTACTTTCACTGTCTCCGTGCATCAGACCCGAAATTGTCACTTAAACTTTGCTGTGCAAGTTTCTCTGGTTTCCTTGCTAAAGCAAGAGAATGATTTAGTTGCCAGTATATTGCACTTACAGCTCAGTCAGCTTGTGCTGTCTTTAAAATGTTCCAAAATTGTTAATGCTAAAACTTCACAAGTAATGTTCAGGAATTTAATCTCAAGGTCTCTTTTGGTAATGGCAATTCAAATTTTGTAGATCCTACATTACAAAATCAGTATTTCTCTTAGAAATCAATAAACATATTAACCTATGTTGTAATGAGGCACCACAAGAAATGTATTTTATGGAGTCTAATTATCAGTTTAGTGAATTACAGTTAAGTAGATTTTACTGTTATTCAAACACAGTTCACAGGACAGGAATAACTCATCCAGTTAATACAGATGAAGTCATTTATGTTTATAGTACATGATTAAATGGGGAATATTTCAATTAAGATGATTTTGTTTAGGATCTGCAATGCAGTTAAGATGTATTACTCTGGGCCAGATTAGACAGCATGTTTTGCG